GCGTTTTTTTCTGAAAATTTCTTCCCTCTGTTGTCGTAAAACATGGAAAAACCCACTTCTAAGTTATATCTTTCAAAAATTCTAGTTGAGTCTCTGTGCAGAGGTCTGAGCTATAGACAGGCGCAATATTATTATAATAGAAGCATTTTTGATAAAAGGAGAATATTTTTAAAATGGGTCATTCTACGTTAATTTTTTATCAAAATATTGTACTTAAATAATTTTTTATTGTAATACTATTCTTAAAACAATTTTATATACATTTTCTAATCTAAGTGACACTAAATATTATCCATTTATACGCTTTTGCAAAATCACGGTTGCGAACGTAGTCGGATACCTTAATTTGTAAATTTGGTTTTAATTGTTTGTAGATGATACATTAAAATACCTTTGTCTGAGAGCTAAATATGTGGCTAAAGAATGACGGAAGCTTCTGAAGAAAGGCTGCGATGACGACTCATTAATAGGAGAGACATAACTGGGTGAGGGAGGTTCCCGGGTCAATCTTAATAATACGCCCCATTAAGCTTTATGGTACCTTTGAGGGGCTGTTCAGCCATTAAAACCATCTCTCGACGTAAAAGGAACAGATAGTAGCAAGTGCTTCTTTCCATGATATTGATCAAATAAGTTAATTCGGATCATAAATGAAATATTCGTTTTAAGAAGTGCTGGATGTGAGGTTTGATGAAGGCGCAATCCGATTATTCGAGAAACTTCTGTTTTTATTTCTGATATTGATATACTTTACTGTGATAGCTTGTTATGAAATACAGTCGAACCTCTATATAACGAACTATATATTGCGAATTTTTCTATATAGCGAACTTTTTCTGGAACCTGGAACATTTTCTTCGTAAAATAACCTCTCTATAGCGAAGTGCATTTTCTATATAACGAACTTTAATTTTTGTGATTCAATTTTTGTTCTCCATTATTTTAAAAATTATTTCTGAAAAAAATTCAAGTTATTCTCTCTTTAATACATTTTATGATGGTAATAAATCTTGAAATGGTTTTATTAGATTCTAACTCGCCTAGAGCAATAGAGTTCTAGATGTTTCATGCAAGAAGTGCAACATTTAACTCCCATTGCCCAGTTCACTAATAACATCTTCGATATCCTCTTTTACCCTCAGTGGAGTTGCCCCGTGTTCTAATTATAAAATAATGTATGTTTACCTTGTATGCTTTAAATTATAAAATGCCCTTAAAATTCATTAATTTTAACATAAAATTATTTTCTTAGTATTGAAAATACAGTGAACTCTTCGACATTTTTTTTTCTTGTTTTCCTTGCATTTTTTTTTTCTTTCTTTCTTTTTTAATGGGTAACATATATAAAATAAACATATATTAATTTTAAAAAAGTGTGAATAATTACTTTTTTTTAATATATAGTGCTTATGAATTTGAAATTTGTTTTATGTGATTTATAAAGTATATTAAAAGATGGACTTCTATATAACGAATTTTTTCCATATAACGAACTTTTTTCCGAGATTTAGCGACTTCGTTATATAGAGGTCCGAGTGTATTATATAATTCACTGGTTCTATTGAATCCACTTAATTTTAAAAGATTGCTACACATTTTAAATAAACCAATGCAAAATTTTTCGTTTTTATATATATATTTATTCTTTATTTTTACTATCAACCTCATTATTTATTTGTGGTTCAGAATTATGAAACGGATTTCCCTTTATTCATATTACATCGAATGAAAATGCATATAAATAAGTCATTGAGTCGTCAATAATTCTGCAAAATCAATATTACATAAACAAACTTTTTTTACATTTTTGCATGCTTTTTCCTATACATGTATACGTGTTTTTGATATACTTATATTTAATCATAGCGAGTAATTAATAATGTATGGAACTAGGATTTTAAAAAATACCTGTATATAACTTTAACAGTTATTTTGCATTAAGAAGAAAGTTAAAGTTTGTTTATTATATTCGTATATTGGTCAATTTTCTAATTATATAACACAAAATTATTTTCTTTTATTCTATATTCTGTTAGAATCAGTTTTTGTTATAAACATTTGAAAAACTTTCATATTGCCATTGTTTATTATATTTTGAATTAGCTCAGAATTAATTTGGTCGAAAATTAGATTTGACATAAATTAAATTTATTTTCACAATTAAAATAAATTAAAATTTTCTCCTGGATTGATTTTATTGGTATATATTTCCTCTCTTTATTTATTTTTTTTTAAAAAAAACACCTTTTTGAAGACTCTAGAAGAAACTAAATTCAAACTTCTAATTAAGAGTCGCTAAATAAATAAATAAATAAAAAAACTGCTGATTTTAAAAAGTTGTCGCTGTAAGATTATCTGAGTTTTTTTTTCCATCAGAATTCCATGCATACAATTCTCCCATTAGAAATCAAATAGGCAAAAGCATACAATAAATTTATTCTATAAAGTTAGTTTTAAAGTGGAATCAGAAATCACATGCGCATTGCAGCACATATTCAGCACCATTTTCCTCTGAAGGCGGAAATTTTCCCCTAATGTTGATATTAAAATTAAACGCCATTTCATTTAAGTTATCAGGAGCGTAAAAATTAAGTCGCTTAGATGCATTATCACGTATTTATTCGAATCGGAACGCACAAATATTATTCCAGAACACCGCCCAGACAATTCTCCCTGAATCCCTTTCAATCCCCCTTTCCCCTCCAGTTCGGGGTCATGTGTAATGTTCGAATTTTCCCATCCGGACTGTCCGTTAATGGACTTCCGGAACATTGCCTCACCTTTCCTCGGATCGATTGAATTAACACTAATCGAGGAAGATGAAGTCCGGCACCAGGTGCTTTCAATCTAAATTTGAAATGTGTTTCCGGGAATCTGACGAAAAGAAAATTTGTAAATAGGATTTCTGCGTGTGTTTTATCATTATACTAGAGCGCAAAAAGACAATCGATTAATATATGTGCTATTAGCAGAATTTAATGGAAGATACCGTTTATTAAGACATACATCCGATTCTCATAGCATATTAACCATAATTTTAAGATTATACTGTATTTAATGTTTATGAATAATTCTTTTTTATTATTAATATATATATATATATATACTTAAGTGCGGGGAACTATCTTTATTTTTACTTTCTAAATTAAAAACAAGTAATATAAAAAAAATTAAGTCAATTAATTCCGTCTTAGGTCAACAAAGAAAAACTTTATTTTAGTTACTTTTTATTAAATGTTTACAATTAATATAAATATGTACAGTAAAACCTGCCTTTGTGCTGTAGATAGGAACTGCATAAAAGAAATCACACAAAATAAACATTCGAAAATTTCGTAAATACTTACATATAACAAATAATTTTGTCGACATACAACAGAAAACTTTTTTTATGCAGAGGATAGGAACCGCATAAATAAAGTTACACTTAAAAAATATGCCAGTTATTTACAAAATTTATGAGAAAATACTTCCAAACGAAATAGACAATTAAATTCCACATGGAAACATTTTTAAAAACATTTAATTTCTCATTGTGTACATGAAGAAATTTTCAAAATGCTTATACATAATTCATTGCTACTCATCGTAATCCAAAGCGCATATCTTCCTGTGATGCATTAGTTCACAATCGCTTTCCTCACTGGAAGATACGGTTTCAATTGATTTATTTTTTGGCACCATAAAGTAAGTAATAAGTTTTGTGATGACGGTCGGTTGGTCAGTTGATTGTGAACGTCACGCTAACCAGTTATGCATGATCAAAAATATTTTTTCAAATTTTGAACTACTTTCGGAATTGTTATCTATTTTAAAAAAATGCTTTTCCGCTTTGTTGGAAATCTGGATCCCAGCATATATTGTATCTGCTTTCGAAGAATCCAGTTCTTCATGTCCATCTTCATAAACTATCAAATTATTAATAAGGTCATTGTCATTGAAAGTTTCGTCTTCAATCAAGTACGTGCTGCTTGTTCTTGTATATGAAAGTAAATTACTGCATTGCCCGCGACCGTTTATAATCAATGAACAAAGCGCGTCTTGAAGTGTATGTAGGTACACAATAGAGTGGCACCAAAACCATTAAAATTCATATACCGCATAAAAAAGATGGCTAAAATAATCATACAAAAATAAAATCGCATAAAAAAGGACCGCTTAAAAACAGGTTCTACTGTTTAAACAGGTTCTACTAAATATGACAGAATTACAATATTAAGGTATCCGACTACGTTCGGAACCGTGATTTTACAAAAGTGTATAAATGGATAATATTTATGATATTTAGTGTCACAGATTAGAAAATGTATATAAAATTATTTTAAGAGTAGTATTACAATAAAAAATTATTTAGGTACAATATTTTGACAAAAAATGAACATAGAATGACCCATTTTCAAAACGTTCTCCTTTTGTGAAAAATGCTTGTATTATAATAATATTTTGCTTGTATATAGCTCAGACCTCTGTCTAAAGTCTCAACTAGTATTTTTGAAACATATAACTTCGAAGTGGGTTCATCCATGTTTATGACACAACAGAGGGGAGACATTTTAAGAAAAAAATGCCGATAATTATTTCAATTGGTGGTAACTCTGAAAACAATGTGAATTTTTCAACAGTCATAGTTGAGCCTCTGTACAGAGATCTGAGCTATATACAGGCAAAATATTATTAAAATAGATGCATTTTTCACAAAAGGAGAACATTTTGAAAAAAGGTTATTCTAAGTTAATTTTTTGCCGAAATATTGTATTTAAATAACTTGTTTTTGTCAAAATGTCCTTAAAACAATTTTATACATGTATTCTAACCTAAGTGACACTAAATATCATGAAAATTATCCATTTATGCGCTTCTTTAAAATCAAGGTCCCGAACGTAGTCGGGTATCTTAAGTGGCAAAATAGAAACGATTTTACTTTCTATATAGGGTGTTGGACTACTATTTGTGTTTGTTACTATTTGTTCATTCATAAAATACATTCTCAGAAATTAGGCTGTCCCAGGTAGGATTCGAACCCACTACCTTTGGATTAGAAGTCCAACGCGCTATCTATTACGTTACAGGGATTTTCCTTTTTATGTATGGTGTTGGACTATTATTATTTTTGTTTGTTACTGTTTATTCATTAAGTTTATCTAATGAATTAATATTTTATATATATATATATATATATATATAAACTGTATTAACATGAAGTGTCATCCACTACAAGTTTTAAAAAATGTATTTGAACCTAAATGAATGAAAAGAAATTATTTTATTAACGATTGAAAATTTGAACAAGATGTATGTATATATATAGAGAGAGATTGTGAATTAATAGTAGGAATTGAATAAGTGCACTTGCCTACATGTGAGCGTACTTTTTCTTATTGCTTTATTATATGCAGAAATATCCAGATCACCAACATTATATCTCAAAATTTAGACATTTTAAGTCTTATTAGTGGCACCTAAACCTTATATTACACTGTTCGCGTCTTTTAAAAATGTTTAATAAAAATTAGAGTAAATTAAGTAACACACTTAATATTACATCATTTTTAATTGCACATTTTTATTAAACCTGTTACTTTTCTCTTTGGGCAAATTTGTATCTCCCTGTATGAAAATACTGCCTTATATTTGTAATTAAGCTTTATTTAATAAGAAATATATGTGTGTATGTGTCAGTTTCAGAGACGGTTACCAGAAATAAAACTACTGTATTTCGCAACTGATATTTTTAATACAAAATTAATTGGAAAATATTACACAGTTTGACAACATTTGCATCCTCATGATGACATTTTTAAAGATTACAGTGATTTCAATTTTTTTTTTCAATTCAATTTTTTGTATAATTTTTAAACTCTGAGTATATTTTTAAAGAGACATATACTCTCGGCGTGTACACGAATCGGCTTATTATCGGAAATACATGGTTGTTTCTTTATGTATATATGGATAGAAATTCTTCTGAAACTTTCAATGCTTACGACTCAATTTTCAATCATAACGCAACCCCGCAACGTACAATAACAATATATAGATTTGTATATGACTCAAGCCCATGGAAGTCACAAGTAAGTTTTAAACTTGTTTTTAACTTAGTATTGATAAATTAATTATCAAATACATTGTGCAGTACTGATACATTTATTTATATATTATATCCATATAAATGTATCAAAACGTATTTTGTTTTGCATCTTTTCAGTAAATTTATAATTTTTTAAATCATCTTCTATTTTCGACATGCTCGCGCCCCTCCCCCACACGTGGGGTTGTCACGCTCCCCTAGGAGAGCGTGCCCTACACTTTGAGAGACGCTTTTTGTATAATCTTCAAATTATTTTTGAGTTATAAAAGAAGTACAGGAAACAGCAAATTTAATTAAAGTAATTAAGCGCGAGCGCGCTTTTTCTCTCTCTCTCTCTCAAAACTAAGATGGCTTGGCTACATTTTCAGGTATGATAAAAACAACCAAATTAAGCAAAAGAAACGTTTTTGGAACCTAAAGGAAAGAGAAGAAGAGGCAGGCCCTTAAAAGAGGACTAGACAATATAGAAAAATACTTGCAAAACATAGGCGTAAATAGATGGATAATAGATAGCTTTGGCTGGAAATTGTCTGTAGTGATTAAGAAATCTTTAAATTCTTGGCTGTTTAACTCATAGATTTTACTTTAGTTAGGTTAAACATTCAATGCTTGCTCCAGTTTTCAATCATAATTTTTCATGGCACTCCTTCCATACAATAATAATGTACTTTGACGCTAAAGCTATACGTACAATATGACTTTAACATATAAACTATACAAATTATCAAGGTAAGTATTAAATTTTACATATAATTTTGTATATGAAAAGTCCATGGAATTCCTAGTATTTATTAAACTTGTTCTTAACTTAATAATGGTGAATTAATGATCAAATACATTTGGAAGTACTGATACATTTATAAGTATAGTATATCAATGTAAATATATATTTTCTATTATTTTTTCCTTTTAAAAAATATGTGGTTTAAAGTAAAAAGCAACAAAAGTAATATTAAAATAAAAAGATTAAGTCAATTCCTATTCAGGTTAACAAAGGAAAAATTTATTTGATAATTTTTATTAAATAGTTATAATTAATATAAATATGCATATACATATGACAGATTCACAATATTAAGCAGCAAAATAGAAGGCGATTTTCCTTTCTATATAAGGTGTTGGACTATTATTTTGTGTTTGTTATCATTTATTCATTAATTAAACTTAACTATTCCATTAAATTAGTATGGTAAAAAGAAATCACATTCTCAGAAATTAGGTCATTCTAAGAGGTATTCAAATCCATTGGATTAGAAGTTTAACACGATATCCATTGTGCTATAGACACATAATGAATGATTTTCCTTTTTTTATATGGTGTTGGACTATATTATTTTTGTTTGTTATCATTTATTCATTAATTAAATTTAACTATTCCATTAAATTAGTATGGTAAAAAGAAATCACATTCTCAGAAATTAGGCCCTTCTAAGAGGTATTCAAATCCACTACCATTGGATTAGAAGTCTAACACGATATCCATTGCGCTATAGACACATAATGAGTGATTTTCCTTTTTTTATTTGGACTATTATTTTGGTTTATTATCATTTATTCATTAATTAAATTTAACTATTCCATTAAATTAGTATGGTAAAAAGAAATCACATTCTCAGAAATTAGGCCATTCTAAGAGGTATTCAAATCCACTACCATTGGATTAGAAGTTTAACACGATATCCATTGCGCTATAGACACATAACAAGTGATTTTCCTTTTTTTTATATGGTGTTGGACTATTATTTTTGTTTGTTACTATTTATTAATTAAATTTAATTAATGAATTAATATTTGAAAACTGTGTATTAACATCAAGTGTTATCCACTGGAAGTTTAAAAAATGTATTTAAACTTGAGAGGATGAAAAAAAAGTATTTTTTTAACGATTGAAAATTTGAACAAGATATATACACATGGGTGACAAAATAATACGAACACCTATGAAAGAGGAGAAATGCTTTATTAATAGGGAGTTGGACCCCCTTTGACTGAATTACAGACTGTATGCAACGTGGGATGGACGCATAGAGGTCATGAACAACTTTTAATGGAATATGAAGCCATTCTTTGTGGAGAGCGGTCTCTAATGCCGAAATCGTAGATGGTGGGGAGAATCGAGCACGGAGTTTTGACTCCAAATATCCCCACAAATAGTTCAATAATATTTAAATCAGGTGACTGAGAGGGCCAAGAAAGATGACCTTACGTCCCCCTACATGCTCTGCTGCAAACCATTTCTGCACGATTTAGCTCTGTGATAGGAGCGTTAATGTCTTGATAAAATGGGCATTCTCCGGGAAATAAAGTCTGATAATGGATGCACCTGATCCCCAGGATATCGATTATAGTGGGCAGCTTGAACCTTGCCATGTAGAGTAACAAGTGGCCCAAGACCACACCAAGATAAGTCGCCCCCCATACTATAAGGACCCAATCTCCATGCTTCACAGTCGGCATGATGCATTCAGGAGCAAATGCTTCTTGGATGTTCTCCACACATAAACTCGTCCGGTGGTCTGAATAGGGAGAACGTTGATTCATCCGACCAGATGACTTGTTGCCACTGTTGTGGGTACATTGTCTGTGTGTTTCTACACCACTGGCGTCGCTGTAAAGCGACGTGCTTCGTTACCAAAGGTTTACGTGAATTGCAACTCTTCCATACAAGTTCGAAGTGCAGTCTCTTTGGATCTGTTCTTGCTGAAATAGGGTTACGAAGATGACCATTCACCAGACGTTATTTGGGATAGCGATTGCTTGCGCTTTCGGGCCACTAAGGGTTAATTTTTATCCCTCCTCGGTAAGCTTTCTTTCCGTCCACTGCTGTGCTTGCTGGCAGACGCCATTCCTCACTTGTATGCTGTCATAACGGCAGATACAGTACTTCTTGCACGCCCCAAATAATAATAGCTGCTTCCCGTCATCGAGCAACCAACGCACCTCATTCCAACAATCATACCTTTTCGAACTCTGACAGGTCCGTCATTATTGCGTTTTTCAGAAATTACACAGACGCGTGCAACAATCTATTGCAGCCGTTGAGCGACTGGATACATTACCTGAATCCGCTAGGCGGCGGACTGCACGCAAAATGACATGCGCGCTGTGCGTCTTGAAATGGGCCATGCCATTTTCGCGGTGTTCGTATTATTTTGTCACCCATCTGTATATATATATAGAGAGAGAGAGAGATGAACTAATAGTAAGGAATTGTGTGTGTGTGGAGAATAAAATGAGTACGTTAGAAGATCAATCCTTAAAAAATAATATATTTCAATAATTATTATAACATAACAAAAAGAAGTTAGACTGATAATTAGGTCAAAAAATATTAAAAGACAAAAGAATGAAAAGTATGAAATATTTTCAGCACAAATTCCAAACTCTCTAGCTCGCAATAACTCAATTGTTGTTACATTAAAGAGAATAAATTCACATACTGAAATAATGCCTCAAAAATCTTGTTTTGCTACGCCAAATGTCAAATGCAACCTGGAGTTTGCTTTTATGGAGTGGTTGCTATCCTGATTAATTCTAATGAGCTCTCTCATTAAAAGCAAATGCTCAACTTTCAATCGCGTATCCAATCCACCCTTAACTCGCAACGCTTGAAAGAAGGAAACAAATGTCTCCGTACGTCATTTTATCCCGCTACTTACAGTTGACAAAGTGGAAACTGCCTAAACAAAGGAACGACAATTATGAAAATTTCACCAGTTCAACAAATACATTACAATATTAGAAATGCAACCTTGACAAACATCGACCATTTGCTGAGTATTTCATGTCACTTTTCCGAGATTATTCGCTCTTTATATTACCGTTTCATTTAACTAATTGCGAGATTTTGAATCGGTATTGTACTGTTCATTTGAAAAACAAACATATTTAAATATTTTAGTTTTTCCCTAATCTAATGTTGTAAGCTTAATTTTATTTTACTCCTAATTTACCTAACGTTTTAGTTTTAATTTTAAACATTCTA